CTGGGTGCGAACTCATGCCCGCAGCACACTTCTCCCCCTGGAAGCCCCTATCTCACATTCAGGCCCACTCCGGCATGCACTCGCGCACCCACAAACCTTTAATTTGGTCTCTAAACCCACAAACCTTTAATTTGGTCTCTAATAAGATTTCCCAGCCTCATTATAGCAGCCAGGCTCACCATTTACATTTAAATGAATGGACTATTAACAAAGTTAATTCCCTGAGACACCGTACTGCCTGCCATCCCCGCTCTGCAAGAGTCTTGTCACTTTTTTGGGTAGAGCCAGAACCCAAATTTGACTTTTTCCTTGGAGAAGCAGGATCGGCCCCTCCAGCTGCCTGCGTGCCCCTTGGGAATCCTGCCCGCAGGGCATGGACAGGGCCGGCAGCACCATTCTCGGCAGTAGAGGGGAGACTCACTCCCCCTGTGTGTTGCTGATGGAGCATGAGATTCATTTACCCCGCGTGTCCTGGCTGGTGCAGCTCCGTACGGCACTTCTGGCCACAAGCAGCAGAACGAGCCATTTTAAAAATAACTCCCCCTTTTTAAGAGGCAAAACGATCAAACAATAATCCAAGAATAAAAATAAGCAGTTTTATGGCTCCTCCGATAATTAACTTAGTTCTTAGCTGTTAATTTATGTACCTAAAGCCCTCTGTTTAATATTCTAATTTGTGGTTAATCATCTATCAAGAGAGAACAAACGGTGATTAGCTCATTTTTACCTCCTCGAGGGTGAGGGAGGCAATTTGGTCTAATCAATGCGTTAGCTTGCTCAAAGAAACTTTTATCTTATTGCCCTGAATTATTCATGCGGCAGCGCTGCCCCTCGCCACGGGCACATACGGTGGCCTCTGGGCCACGGAAATGTCACCGGGGTGGGATGTGAGGATGATGCCGATGGGTGACCATGGACAACCATGCAGGAGGCAATGCCTCCTCTCGGCAATGCTCTGCTAGGGATGTCCCAGGGTTGAAAAGCCCTCTGTGTACGAGGGTGGTCCATGAGATGGTGGATCCCACCCTCTCTGCTGGATGTCCCCTCTCCTGGCCACTGCCGGGACCCTCCGGCTGCCCTGAGCCGTGCGGGTGGGTTTCTCTTCGCCCGGTGGAAGGGAGCCATTCCGCTGCCTCCTGCCAGGGCCGTGCTGGCGCACTAATAGCACATTCAGCTGCAACAATGGTGCACGTGGCCCCAGAGTGGAACAAGTGGTGCTTGTCCAAATGCAAACTGCAGCCAGCACCGGCGGCCTCTCCAGCCTTGAATGGCAGTAATCAGAGGCCCCCTAATTACTCCAGGCTACAGAAATCGGACTTCCCCCCCCCCCCCGCCAAGGCTTTCAAAGGAGAGGGGAAGAGAAGGAAAGCTGTGACTCTTGCAGGAGGTCTCGGCAGGCCCGGAGGGGCAATCGGTGCGACCCTGAAGGGATCTGCCTTGATTTCCTTTCATCTCTTCCCTTTTGTCTTTCATGTCAAGTGAAAGCCACGTGATGATGCTGGACTCCACACCTCCATCTTTCTGGAGCCTTCGTAGCTGCACGGACAAGCGTGGGAGCAGGTTCTTAAACCCTTTGAAATGATTTTTAAAATTTCCACATATTTTTGCTTTGAAAATAAGTCATGACTGGCCATGGCCCAGCCCCTGATGTTTGAACGAGTGGGGACGGTGAATAGATTGGGCTGCTCTCAGCCGCTGTGTCTCACGGGAGCTGCATAGCCCAAAAGCCCCATAGGCCCTTTGCCTGTGACCAGTGGGACAAGGCGAGGTGACAAGGACCTGGGCTGGCTCCCCACGGCCCTGTCCGCAGGAGAATCCACGATGTCGAATTCCGGCACGAGCAGGTCGGAAAGAAAAGAGCCAAGAGCTCCAGACAGCTGCTTCCTTGGCACTTTAATTAAAACCTAATCTTCTTAATCTTCCCAGACACTGCCCCTGCCAGCCTCCGACCTGGGAGGCTGCACAGAACCCGGCTGTAGCTGTGCCTGCCCTGCAGCATCTCCCGGGATGCGGCCGGGGAGCACGGTTGCCCACTGAAAGTCAAAGCCGCCTCTCGCTAACGGAGAGCTCAGCCCCCACTGCGGCTAGCGCTTTTGGGAGGCCGCGTGTGGCTCTGAACAGCAGCAAGGTCAGCAAGACCAGCGTCCCTGGCTGTGCTGGAGCACTTGCTCCATCCCTTCCCTTCCCGGCCAGCCCTGCCCGGGGATGTGCACACTTGGGCGTGAGGAGCCCCTGGGCTTCTTAGAAAGGACCCTGCACCCTCCCGGCCACCCCG